CTATCACCACCACCACTACCACCACCCTGCACACAACACGTGTCCCCCTGTGAGCGTGTCGCCTCGCTGAGTCGTCGCCGTCAATTGTTGTTGATTGGTGTTGGTGGTTGTTGTTTATTGTTGTTTATTGGTGTTGGTATTGATGTTGTTGTTTTTATTGTTGATTGTTGTTGATCTCGTGGACTCTTGCCAAGTGGCCGCCTGAGAGTGGCGCCGTTTTACAAGCTTCAGTGTTCTCCCTGCGCAAGCCGAGCACTTATATTTGTTTATGAAACGAGCCACCGGGTCTCGCTGTTGACAATGCTCTTCCAGATTCGTCATCACGAGACTCCTACATTGGGATGCTTGGCCAATTTTGAAGTAGCTCGTCTCCCCGTGGGAGAAACCCGGGAGAAAACCCCACCTCCGATTAACACGCGGCGCTCCGCACAGACTGGTTCACGATCACCCCCCCCCCCCCTCTCTGGGCCGTACGACCATCCGCCTACCCCCCCCCCCCTCTCACACTTGCTACACTCTGACAGCACGTGGCTGCAGGTGATCTCTGTGCGATCCACCAACCCCACTCAATAACAGGCACGCGCTATAACGAGGGCGTGGGCGCGAGCCTCTGTAATGCGGAGCAGGTGAGAGATTACACACTCACACACAAAGAGCCACTGAATAGCCTTTAACAGACTGTTGGGGCAAGTGCTGTTAGCGAGCACCTATGAAGGCCGGCACGGAACACGAGGGGGTGGGTGACCAACACCACGCCGGGCCGCCTTTGTCGCCCCAGTGGCGATGTTTACAACACACCGCACTAGATACTCATTTGAGGCTGAGTCGACCTAGGGGAAACCTATGACCGATTCAGATATTCGTAACTGGTATTGGCCGTGAGCGGGAATCGAACCCGCCGTGGCCGGATTCGTAGCGCAGCGTAGCGCTAACCGCTGCACCACCGCTCCCGACAGGGCGTGGGGAGAGGTGGTGCAGCGGTTCTAATTCAGAGCAGGTGGGAGATCAAACACACACTCACACACTCACGCACACTTACACACTCACGCACACACACACTCACACGCACGTCGCGTCCCTAAAATCCACACTCACTCATCCCACCCCTCCCCACACTCGCAGCAGCAGCAGCGCATTCCAATCCTCATTGGTTACACGTGCGGCATTCCGCACAGGTACACAGGAGAGAGCGAGGTGGACATTATAAACCACGTAACGGTTTTGGTAATCATCATCATCCTAATCATCAACAACAACAACAGCAGCAGCATCATCATCATCATCCTAATCATCAACAACAGCAGCAGCATTATCGCGACGTGCCGTGTAAATTGACAATCCCAGCCTGGGTTGCGTGGTTTGTGGCCACGGGGAGATGCCTGGTAGCACAGCAACTAGGACGAATACCTATAAGGCTATACTGTAATCGTGCATGGACATAGTTTGGATGTTTTATTGCGACCGCATAAATAAACGATTAACATCTCATTAAGGAATAAAACATGTTGATGGCCGAACATTAATCTAAACTCGCGATTGCATCATCCGCCCTGCTCCGGCCAAATAACTCATCCCAGCGTCACCCCAGGGATGATGCACTCACACAAAGATAGGCAAAGATCCCCCGTGTAGCCTTTAACAGGATGTAGGGGCAAGCGATGTCAGCGAGTCGCAGCAGCATCAGCACCTCTGAAGGCCTGCACGGCACACGAGAAGGGGTGGGTGGCCAGCACCACCAAAACCGCCTTTGTCTTCCCAGTGCCGATGTTGAAACACCGCACCAAGGGAAGGTTGCGGGGGGAGGGGGTCCAGGGCCGGTTCAGATTTTCACTCGCCACTGATGTTAGCCGTGGGGTGTAATTCAGGGCACGGGCTTCGTACGCAGCGCGGTGCACCAAACCACTTCGCCCACCGCTCCCCACACAGAGGAACGTCAACAAACAGGGCCGAGGGCGCTTCCTCTGGGGGGGGGGGGGGGGGGGCACCGCTTAATGCTACCACGCACGCTCGAGCGGAACGCCGCAATTTAGGGGGGGGGGGGGGTAATGCGATTGTTTTTCCTGTGTTTTCGGGGCAATTTTTTAACGACGGAGCCAAGTTATTTATAAGTTTCGATTTTTGTTTTTAGACAACATCGGGGCAATTGCGGCACACCACTCCAGAGAGGATTTGGGGGGGGGTCGCGTAGACCCCCCCCGCCTCCCCCCAACAAACAACACTCGTGTCCACCGCCTCTTCATTCTAACGCATCCGTTGTAGATGTTGTCGATGTGGAGACGGAGAGATGATGTGCATGGTGTGTGTGTGTGTCTGGCGTGTTTCGTCTCTCACTGCTCTTGTTTAACCACGCGGGTTTGTGAGCGGGAGCGGCGGCAGATCGTACACATCGCTCGCTACCGGAGGAATCCGAAGAGCTATAAAGCTCTTCTTCACAGATGTCGGGTAGAGGCGGGTCAGGACGTTACATTAACAAACAATACAACAACAAACCCACATCAGGAGTGCACAGTAAAGAAGAGGTCAACAAATCGCTCACAATTGTACAAATAAAACTAAACTATTTTTGTTATTTTACCAAGTAAAGCCCGCTGAGGCATTCACTTATTTTTCTGACTTGACGTGGCCACAAATGATAGCTCACCAAAGTGGCTCATCATCACGTGGACATTTTTAGCAGCAAAATAATCGACGCAATCTAAATGCACGTTTCTTCATGTGGAGGGGAAAACCCGGCCGCGGGTTCATAGCGCAGCACGTGACCCACTGCGGCACCGCTGCAACTCCAGACCCCCAGTGACCAGCGCGGTGAAGTATGGTCAGACAACCCCCACCTCCCTCCCCCCACGACCCGCACGGCGGGAGAAAGCCCTCTCATCCAGCACCACGCGCGCGCACGTGTTGCAGTCCATCGCTCCGTCACCAGAGGAGACGGAGCGATGGCATCGATGTCGTGAGCGCTCATTTAGTGGGAAAATAACATCACGTGACAGATGGCTTGCGGGTTGCGGAGGCCATCATCCAGCAGTGGATTGGTCACGATTAAAAAGCGTTTCCTTCACGTGCTAAATATGGACTGTTGGGACCAAGTGCTGTTAGCGAGCTCATATTAAGGCCAGCACAAACTCCAAGCCGCCAAATGATGCCTAATACAGGTTCAGGTATCACGCAACTAATATAGACTAAACTGTTTTTTTTTATTTTACCAGGTAAGGCCCACAGAGCTACCTATAGAGCTCTTTTTTTCAGAAGCGACCTGGCCACAAACGATAGCTCAACGAAGTGGAATTACGTCACGTGGAAAGATAAAGTTGACAAATTCTTTAAGCGCATATTGTTAATTCCAAATGTGGAGGGAAAAACCGAAGGACCCGGAGAAAATCCACGCGACCATGGGGAGAGAGACACCGCACACTCCAAATATACAGCAGGCGTCAGAGTCGGGATCGTACCCACGACCTCCTGTACACCAGGCGAGGTAGTTAACATCTCACCATCGAACCCACGACCTCCTGTACACCAGGCCAGGTAGTTAACATCTCACCATCGAACCCACGACCTCCTGTACACCAGGCGAGGTAGTTAACATCTCACCATCGAACCCACGACCTCCTGTACACCAGGCGAGGTAGTTAACATCTCACCATCGAACCCACGACCCCCTGTACACCAGGCGAGGGAGTTAACGTCTCACCATCGAACCCACGACCTCCTGTACACCAGGCGAGGTAGTTAACATCTCACCATCGAACCCACGACCTCCTGTACACCAGGCGAGGTAGTTAACATCTCACCATCGAACCCACGACTTCCTGTATACCAGGCTAGGTAGTTAACATCTCACCATCGAACCCACGACCTCCTGTATACCAGGCGAGGTAATTAACATCTCACCATCGAACCCACGACCTCCTGTATACCAGGCGAGGTAGTTAACATCTCCTAGCCACCGCGGCGGGTGGGGGATCACACGCGGACCCGTACCGCAGTGCGCGGAGCGCAGCGCCACCGCTCCCTAACGGCAAAGAGCCCCCGCAAAGGTGCACAGAGTTGATCACAACCTGTGTGGTATTGATCACGACCTGTGTGGTATTGATCACGACCTGTGTGGTATTGATCACGACCTGTGTGGTATTGATCACGACCTGTGTGGTATTGATCACGACCTGTGTGGTATTGATCACGACCTGTGTGGTATTGATCACGACCTGTGTGGTATTGATCACGGCCTGTGTGGTATTGATCACGGCCTGTGTGGTATTGAACACGACCTGTGTGGTATTGATCATGGCCTGTGTGGTATTGATCACGACCTGTGTGGTATTGATCACGGCCTGTGTGGTATTGATCACGGCCTGTGTGGTATTGATAGTTCAATGTTGTTAATGTGCCATTTAGAGAGGGGCTACTGATGCTGTGAGGCGTTGTCTTTGTGTCGTCTGGGACTGCTGTGTTGTTTTAGCTACCTTGCCCAGCCTGGATAAATTGGACTTATATAATGATTTTCATGTCCCTTTATTATTTATATTTAGTGACTCGCTTACTACCATCGTCTCTACTTTGCACGCCTATCGTGGGTTTGTATTGCTTGCTGTTGTAACTTGCTGACCCGCCCTTACTGGACATCTGTGAAAAAGAGCTTCATAGCTCATCGGATTCCTCCTCCTGCAGTCTAAATAGAGATTATCATTCCGACTTTTAGGACGAGTGCCGTTATCGGGCACCTATTGAGGTCGGCATGGCGCGCCTCAACCCTACCGCCTGAGTCTCCCCTATTGATCAAGTTCACACACCGTAACAGGTATCCAGTTAGGGCTGAGTCAACCTAGGGGAAGTACAAGATCTAATCAGATGATCGCTTCTGGTGATGGCCGTGAGCGGGAATCGAACTCAGGTCGGTGGATCCGTAGCGCAATACGCTAACCACTGCGCCACCGCTCCCCCCCCCCCCCCCACCGCCGCAACCCACACACACACACAGAGGTGCACATGCGTGGACGTACCTGGTAGGGCTAATATCTCAGCGAAGGGCTTGCAGTGGTCGATGCCGTTGTTGCTGATGCACTGAGCCCAGAGGCCCTTGCTGCCCATGTCCTCGAAGCGCACGCACGCCGTGAAGCCGTAGGAGCAGAGCAGGACCCAGTCGTTGGTGGCCGTGGCCACCACCAGGGCCACCCAGCCCAGGAGGCCCAGCGACACCCCCAGCAGCTGGAAGCACGAAGCGCCCATGCCTGGAGCAAGGGGGGGGATGGGTGGTGGGAGGGGGGGCCGGCGGGCTGGTGGTAGATGGAGGTGGATGAAGCGGTGGTGGTGGAGGAGGTGGTGGAGGAGGTGGGGCGGTAGGTCCTGGCTGTAGGTGGACGAGGTTGCTGGATAAAGCTACTGGTTAAGGAGATTGATGGTGAGAAGGAGGTGTGTTGGGTGGAGGAAGGCTTCTCTGGTAGACCAAGTAGGTGCTGGCTGCGAGATGGAACAGGAGGTGCTGGCTGGTTGACGGCACTGGCTGAGAGTGGATGAACACAAGAGTTGCTAGCTGGTTGTAGGTCCTGGCTGAGAGTGGATGCCCGGAGGAGGAGGTGGTGGCTGGAGGTGCTGGCTGAAGATTCTGGCTCATAAACGGATGATCAGAGGAGGTTTGGGTGGGGGAGGAGGTGCTGGCCGGATGAAGGTTGTGGCCGAGAGTGGATTCCCGGAGGAGGAGGGAGGGTGATGAGCGTGGCTGGTGAGTGGCTGTTGAGGGCAGGGGCGCGTCTAGCGGTATTATGATTCGAGTGGTAGTGCCAGCCCCTCTATGCTACCCCAGAACCAGTGGTCACTCCGCGCGGGGTGTTACCTGCTTTGGCTGGACCTCGCCCAGGGGACCCCTACAGAAGCTCCCTGCACCCTCCCTCCTCTTTGCACGGCCGCGGCGCGCTTGAGATCCCCTCGCTGAGACTCCTGGGTGGGACTCCTGGGTGGGACTCCTCGCTGAGGCTCCTGGGTGGGACTCCTGGGTGGGACTCCTCGCTGAGACTCCTGGGTGGGACTGCTCGCGTGTTGTGCCGCGCGATGCTGCCGCCCGAGCGTTTTATAAACTCAGATAACGGTTCCTTAATCCCAGCCCACCGCTCAGTCGCCTCCACCCACCCACCGCCACCCGACTAAACCCACCACCAGCACCCCACTCCACCCGAAACACGCACAACTACAACTACCTCCACGCCCCGATCAACCCAACAACCACCGTCCATCCAGCCCTTTACACCACCACCACCAACCACCTCCACGCCCCGCCCCCCCTCTGCTCCGGTGCCATCATCTGGACAGTGTCCAGGACATCGCCCCGCGCCACGCGGAGGCGGAGACTCATGAGGGTCATTCCATCACTACATATCAACACAAACGCACAACAACAAAGACAACCACACACAACAAAGAAACACAAATACACAACAACACACACAACAACAAAGACAACAACACACACAACACAACAACAAATACACACACAACACAACAAACAACATCCCCCATTCTCCACTTAAGTGGCTGTGACGTCACCACGGCGCCTGTGCCAGGCCACGTGCACTTTGAGGCCACGTGAATTGTCCAAAGCTCGCTGGCAGGAGGTAACGGGACAGACCCACGTGCCATGGGCTGAATGGGATGATTGGCCGATGCATCACCTGTGCTCCCCACTGCGCCAATTTGCTGCGTTTAATCCGTCCGGCGCTTCGCTCGTTGTTGTGAGCGTCGCTCCTCTGCCTTCCCTTTTGTTGGAGGGCGACTACCTCCAACTGCACAGTAGCAGCGTCCTTCACGAGCCTCCTCCACAGAAGTCGATCTTGACACCGCTGGTACCAGTCTTTGGCAAGTCCACCCCACATCGGACTGTACCACATCGGCTCCATCTCTCCTCCAGCCCGTGCCCGGGCTCGAGAAGAGACACCACGTGTGTGTGTGTATCAACTCAGCCCACAACCCACTCCTCCCCTCCTTCACTCCTTCGGGTCAATAACCTTCGCCTCGCTCCCCTCCTTGACTCCCTCCCTCCATCTCCCTCCATCTCCCTCCCACCGTCTCCCCTCCCACGTCAACTCTCCTTTCCTCTACCCATCCCTCTACCCATCCCGCTACCGCCTCCACACACCCCATCCCACATCCCTTTCCCATCAGAGCCCGGTTTGTATGTTCAGGTGCGTGTCCCTAAGTTGACTCAGCCTTAAACGAGTGCCCAAGGCGGTGTGTAAACATCAGCACTGGGGAGACAAAAGCGGTCGAGCATGACGCTAACAGAACTTGCCCCAACATCTATTGGGGCAATCTTTGTATGGAGGTGATGGTGTCTGTCTATCTGTACGTCTGCGTTTGATGCTGATCCGTCTGTCTCCTCTGTCCACCTATCCGTCTGAATCTCTGTCTGTCTGTCGGTCCTTCTGTCTGTGCCTCTGTCTCTCTTACATCTGTCTCTCTGCCTCTGTCCCTGTCTCTCTGTCTTTCTGTCTCTCTGTCTCTATGCCTGTCTCTCCGTTTCTCTGTCTGTATATTCGTGAAGCGTTCCCTGTATGTCTGCCTCTCTCTGCCTCTCTCTCCGTTTCTCCGTCTCTCATTCCTATCTGAATGCCTGCCTCTCTCTCTGTCTCTCCTTCCTCTCTGAATATCTGCCTCTCTCTCCTCTCTGCCTCTCTCCGTGTCTCTGTCTGCCTCTAACCAGAGTTGCGTCCGCCTTGTTGCGTTCCGGGCATTCCTTTGGCTTCGCCTCGATAAACCCCGCGCGCTGCTGTTATTCCTGCTGCCCGTGTGTGTGCACACACACGTGCACACGGTGTGTGTACACACACGTGCACACGGTGTGTGTGTACACGTATGTGCGCACATGGCGTGTAAACACACGTGTGCACACGTACACAGGCGTGTTTGCGTACACGTGTGCGTGTATACGTGTACGCGTGCACGTGTGGACTCGAGTTCGACTCCAGCACACGTCCACCACCAGTGAGGAATATCTGAACCAGTCACAGGTCTCCCCTAGATCGGCTCAGCCTCCAAATAGTACCTGGTGCAGTGTGTATTAAACATCAGCACTGGGGAGACAAAGGCGGCCGGGCGTGGTGTTGGCCACCCATCCCGCTCATGTGCTGTTCCGGGCCTTCATAGGTGCTCGCTAACAGCACTTGCCACAACAGTCTGTGTCAGGCTATCCGGGGGATCTTTGCCTTGTGTGTGCATGCATGCACACGTGCGCGCGCGTGTGTGAGCACACTTCTGGTTCGGAGAACACTCAAAGGGTACCGGCTAGTCACAATGTGAACCATTCCAGTCGTATCTCTTCTCGAAGTAACAATCCCATTATACTTATTTAGCTTGCTGCGATTTCGTTACTCTGACTGCAGGCTGTGCGTCGGACACCAATGTTTATACGTCGCTGGTTTGAAATGGTGACGTGATCATTGTAATTTTGATTTAAAGCTTTCGTGACTGCAGGGATTCATATTCTTGGTTCTTTCGGTAAAGTCACGTAGAAGGGAAACAATAAAATAATAAAAATATAAAACAATACAATTCTCGCGACGTTTCGACTGCAACACAAGCAATCATCATCGGGTGTGAAAACCACAGCCAGAAAATTTGGAAATTTGGAAAATGTGGCTGTGGTTTTCACACCTGATGATGATTGCTTGTGTTGCAGTCGAAACGTCGTGAGAATTTCATTGTTTTATATTTATATTATTTTATTGTTTCCCTTCTACGTGGCTTTACCGAAAGAACCAAGAATATGTTATCATTGTAGTTGGTGAAAGTGAAAGTTAAGCGGTCGTGCCGAGTAAGAGGAATGTAAAAATGAAACGTGAATTACTTTGACGAGAGTAACGCGTTACTGCTGTGCACAGCGCTGCTCAGAGATGAACAGCGACGCCTCAAGCGTGGTGCTGACCACACCGCCCACTAGCGTGCCTTGCCGGTATAATACAATGGTACAACAGCACTTGCCGCTACGGTCCTGTGAGGCTACTCGGGGGAACTTTGTCTTGTTGTGGATTACGGTGTGAGTGCTGTGTCTGTGGGGAGTGGTGGTGCCGCCGTTAGCGCCACTGCGCTCCCAACCCGATAACCGGAACCAGTCCTGGGCCTCCCTTAGGTCGACTCGGCCTCAAATGAGTACCTTGGTGCGATGAGAACATTGCCACTGGGGAGACAAAGGCGGCCAGGCGTGGGGTATTGAACCCCCACCCGCTTATATGCCGTGCCGGCCTTAAAAGGTGCTCGCTAACGCCACTTGCCGCAAGTCAGTCAAGGCTATCTAGGTGACATTTGTCTTTGTCTCTACGCGTACATGAATCCGTGTATTTTTGTACAAGCGGCCAGCAACACACTCATGAAAGTTGTACAGTAACATGAGAGTTATAAAACTGCCCTTGAATTGAGCAAGGTCCTTATGATTGCATACTACAGTACGTGCTTGAGAAGAGATTATTTGGTACGGTTACTGATTCTCGTCCAGGGTCTTGGGATGGCCTTCAACCAGCAGTGGAAGACAATGGCCTATGCTGCTGCTGCCGATGACGAAAAGTGAATTCCCCTCCAGTCTGCTGCGGGTGAGCGGGGGAGGGGATCTTGGCCTCGATTACATAACCACGGCCGCGTGTGGCGGGGTGGATGGTGCCAGCCAGACTCTGGGATCGCTCGCATCCAGCAGTGAATAGAGCACGGCTTAGACCGTGCCGACTCCTGTGTTGAGTCGGCACGGCACGCGAGGGCGTGAAGTGGGTTGACCGGCACCACGTCTCCCGTCCGCCTTTGTCTCCCCCGGTGCTGATATTTACACACCGCACCAGCCATTCGTTTGAGGCTGGGTCTACCTAGGGGAGGCGCCAGAACCGGTTGAGATGATCGCCTCTGGTGGTGGTGGTGGCCGCGAGCGGGAATCTAACCGGGCTCAGAGGACCCCCCCTTGCAGGTTTGTCCATGGCGTGGGAGGGGGGGAGACGCGGGGACGTCCCCAGTTGCCCCTCCTCCCTCGTGCTCACGGGGAGGAGGAGGCCACCGCCACCTCGTGACTGGGCGCGGCAGCTTCCTCCTCTTCCTGCTGCTGCTCAACCACAGCCTGGACCCGGACGCGAACCTCGCCCACGGGACATCAGAGGCCAGACTCCACGTTCGCGAGTGTGTTTTTGTTTGCGCGACCCAAGGTGAGAGAGAGAGAACTCTGAAGGCTGCGCCTGGGGGTCGTGGTCTCAGAGTTGTGTAAGAGTCACCCAACCTGTGCCCCAAACAATTCGTTGAATAGAAACCACCACCACCACCATGATCGTCAGCAGCAGCAGTAGGGGCAGCGGCTCTTCCGTTACCGTGGGGCACAAGCGCCGTTCGCCCATCAGCATCATCACCGCCAGACATGGTATATCCACTGCTGGATGGAAGCCTCCAAGCTACCTGGATAGATATCGTGTGTCGCGTGCGGAAGTTACTTTTGGGTAATTCGCCGGCTCGCCGCTAAGCTGGGCGAGACGCCCACGCGCACGGCTGTGGAGCAGCAGCAGCAGCAGCCACGTGAGACTGGACGGCGTGTGCCGGGAGAAGATGGAGGCGAGCCAGGTGTGATCTGGCAGTCTACGGGGGTGGCTGGTGGAGGTTAAAATGCGTTCACCCCCCTCCCTCCATTGTCAATCCACTGCTGGATGAAGGCCGTCCTCCCTCCCCCGGCCAAAGCTGGTTCCTGGTTAGCCGTCTCAAAGCTGATGCTGCTGCTGTCACGCGCAGCAACATCGCCCCCTGCCGCGACAACTTGGCAGGAGACTTCCCGAGAGAACAAATCCCCTCCGTGTGTGCGCGCGCGCGTCAACCGCGGGGAGCGGTGGCGCAGTGGTTAGCGCACTACGCTCACGGACCCGGCCACCCGAATTCGATTCCCGCTCACGGCCAAAAGCAGTGACGGTGATCTGAGCCGGTGGCGGCGTCTCGCCTACTTGGATTGGGCCACAAGTGAGTACTCCCATCAGCACTTGGGAGACAAAGGCGGCCGGGCAGGATGTTCTACCATTGTCGCGCGCGCCACTATCCGACGAAACAATTGAACACAACGTTGCAGCAACGTACGGCAACGTCAGGATGATCTGAACTCCGTGATGTTGGATTGAAAGAACCGCCTTGCATCGGTCCGTAGTGAAT